CATCTTAGAACACGCAATTTTCTATGTTCATGATATAATATACTTTATTCCTAGACCAAGAGAAAACCTCTTTCTCTCTACTATCACTACCGTCCTCAATTCGACCCCAGAATATGTATTGTTTAATTACTGTACATTATCCGAATTATCTGGTTTGTTTCTTTGATCTTTAATTCGATTTGTAATTCATCAACTCCAAGGATTAATTAATTTTTTCATTTTTTGCTATTATAGTATGTCTGGCCCTTTATTCTGTCTGGTGTTCATTTTAGGTTGCGCTTAGTTTGTCTACTGTGTCTCTTTTTACCCGTATCTGTCCCTCAGTCTGCTCCTTCATTTTGTCTGATAGAGTCATTGTCGGACAATAAAGAAAAACCTCGGGATTTACGTCAGGGGTCCATTTCGCCCTAGGGGTTCGTTTCCCTCCACGGTTCATTTCGCGCCACCGGAAGAATAATCGGAGCGGTAGTGGTAAATCTCACATAGTGAAGACGTCCCGATTTCATTGCACCATTTACCCTCAAACTACTTGCTATTGCACCAAAGACCAAAATTTCGCTTCCAACATCCGTTTCAACCATTATGAATAAATAATTATTAAAAATTATCTTGAGTGACTGCACGATCGATCAAATAAGTTCATAAAAGTCTTGAGGTCTTTTCCGAACTTAATCGATCAATTGTACACAAGTAATTTAACACTTTAACAATTCAACAATTAACACAAATATCTTTAACAATTTAGATTTGGAAATTTAAAGATTTAGAATTTAGAATAGATTGCACTATTTTCACTTCCGCTTCAATCTTCCAATTAATACTTATTTCAATGTACTGAATTACTGAATTACTTTCAATTCTTCCTAATGAATATGGAACGAATATAAATCCAATACTAAATTACAGCTTGACGTGAAGTTAGCTGCAAGTCGAAAAATCGATCTTAGCTATGTTTGACCTCAAGGAAGTTTTACATATTTCCGTAATTCTAGCTGTGGCGGTGATGTTAGTTTTGGCATTACGAATACCGAAAGTTGATGAACTGTCTGCTTTCCTTTAGGTTTCAAGCGATCATTTTTCAGTTTGGCATCAAATTCATTTGACCAGCCGATAAATTTTCGTGATCGTCTAATAGAAATAGTGCGATATTTCGATATTAACAATCAGCTAAAATATTATTGTTGATATCATTGAGTCGTATGCTAAAACTGCCGCAAGATTTGCACAGCATTTAGATCTTCCAAGGGTTCATGCAGACACTTCTTTTCAGTCAAGACTCATCGGTGCTAGACATCCTCATACAAACGTACCTCATCGCTATCCCTGGGGTTATCTTCAACAATTGCAGGCATCGTTCATCCTCATGTCTGACTTTATACACGACGAACTGTGCGATGGTGCGTGAAAAAGTGCGGAAACTTCATTTTGTATCTCTGTCTGATAAGATTTTCTTGATCCTGAACGTTTGCCTCTTCTAATACCATCTAAACTGATGGGGTAAGGAAATTTCTCGAGAAATGA